AGTACTAAAAAGTGTTTGTGAAAATTTATAAATTAATTTACTCTTGTTAAGAATCAAACAAATTTTTTACGGTGTTATTTTTCAAATAATGATTGAAACTTTCCTTGAAAAAATACACGCATTGTTGCTAATATTGCAGTGAAAAAGAATACAGTTAGGGTGGTGGGGGGGACAATCAAATGTATTTTAATACATTACAGAATATCTTGGTAAAATTTGAGAACCATACAGTAAATACTTCATTTGCAAAATATCCATGGATTGTCTAGGATTTTGTTGTTCCTTCGTTTTCATACCAATAGCTTTCTGATCTCGTTCTGTTTTTTTCGGATTTTTCAACCTTCAACCGCCAGATATTCCACTTTCGATTGATGATACATACTATTTATATCTGTTGACTTCAGTTGCACACACTACAATATAAGGCTTTAAAAGTATCAATTTTATAGACAAAATAAAACTTTCTGAACATCAACAATTTAAGAATTCTTAGAGAATATTCGGGAATAAAGAATACTAGAGCAAATGATCTTTTTATGCTCAACAATTATACTTTGTATATTACTTAGTCTTTGGTCAAACATGTGATCTAATTTGTTATTCCAATATTATTTCTCACACACTATGTTGTATTTATTTATTCTAATTATTACTCTCATCATTCAATTAATCTATAGACTTATTTAAGTCATATTTTATAATTTTAAACAATATACTCGCATGAAACGTGGCCATTCCATTGAATGGTCAATCCGGATATATAACTATGGAACAGATTGACATTGAAAACAAGAAAACAAAATTAAATCGTTTATTATTATTTTTTAAAGAATCATATTGACACTAAATAATAACAAGTTACTATCCATTCATCAATTGAAGTAATTAAACAAACGTATTAGTAACTAGATAGTTCACTATTTTATTTTATGAGCAAAATATTATCACATGAATTTGATTGGTTGTATTTATTGTTAGTTATATGTACTATACTTTAGTACTTAGAATACATGATCAATATACTGAAAGTAAACCTTGGAAAATTTAATAATAATATGATGCATAAACAATGACCTAATAAAATCAGTCATCTTAATCTTAATAAAAAAACATAAATTTTCATTAGTTATATAGTGTTTACACTTTTCAGGTAGGATAATTTTCACTAATGAATTCACAGTGTCATTGTGTATGTAGATATAACTTTTCAGTAACCAATAAATACTTTCATTATTTTGCATATTCCATGTAATTTACAATTCATAATGTAGTGTTTCAGTTTAATTATTCGATGTAGGAATGATTTAGAGGGATCGTAATTACTTAGCATAAAATGAACTACTGTCTATTGGAGGTTATTTTGAATCATATTTTAAGATATAGTTCATGTATTTATTTTAGTTGACTGTTGAATTTTCTTTTAGCAAAATGAAAGTTTTCTAATTAAGTCCCACATTATTCAATGAGTAATTGATTATTTAGCGTTATAACAATGAATGAGATGAAGCTACTCGAACATCCTACTATTCTACATTTGCCTATTTTTTTCTCCCTTAGATGCTCTTAAATTCAATCTTTTGAAATTATTCAACGTTGTCAGTGTCATTATCAAAGTTTGATTTGACACCGAATAAATTAAGCATTCAATAGGTTGCTAATAATAGAAATGATATATATACCAAAAATATGTTACTTGTATTGTTAAATCAACATCATTCTAGATTTCGTATTCATAGATATGTGCATGTTTAATATCCCCTATGTAATTTACAAATGTTGAACCTTTTAAAATATGTTCATGTTTTTAATTAATAGATTACTTTTGATGTACAGTAGTGATTAACTATTTCTCAAAAATTATAAACAACCAGCTAACTTTATATTTTAGAATTTAAGTTTAAGACGAATGCTGATTAAATATTGTACTAATTCTGTCAATTAAAAAACAAATTTTATTGAAATTGAAAGAAAATACTTTGATGAAACTATAATTTATGGACGATATTTGAACGACGCCAAAATGATCTTGAGAGTGTCTGTCTACTTACTAAGACTAAATGAGGATTATAAGGAAGTTTGAAGTATAAGTATTATGATTCACAATTGATGGTTAAGGTTAAATATTAGATTTAAGGTTTTTCATCATGAACTAACATCAGCTAAAATACTATTTAGCTAAATGGGTGGGTGAATTTCGCGCCAAAATCCAACACCTGTTATCCTAAATCTAATTGGTTTGCCCATAAATTATAGTCTCGCCAAAACTTTAAAGAAATTTTGAGATTAAAAATATTTTGTTGAAAGCCTCAATCTTACGTTGAAATAGCTAATAGATGTATAATGATCACAATTCAAGGGTAGAATAATTAAGTATGGATTATCTTAACTTATGTTTAGTGGCAGTTTAACTATATAGAAAATTTAAAGTTTATATCTGGAAGTCTTTTTTTCCTGTTCGTTGAGCTTACAACTTGATACAGAGACAGAAAAGAATTTGTAATTCAAGTTAACAATTTCGATGGTACTTCATTCACTAAGTAAGTCGATTTTAATCATAAAGCTCTCATTGTCCTTCTGGATAGCATCATCAATACAATCTTAAAAATAGGATTAAGCTAATCCAATTTCTCTACATATAACTGACAGTTTGTTCCGTCGACCTTGATCATGATTGATTGTTGTTGACCCTTTTATCCAGTTATTGTTTGACAATTTATTAAAATTGTTATCCTCTTTGACTTGATTTTTCCCCTAATGTTTGATCATGATTTTCTTAATCGGTTGACAAAATGGATCCATTTCGATATGTTTGTTGATTACTTATTGACTTCAGTCCACAGCTTTTATATCAGATAAAGTAAATGACTATTTAATTCTGGTCTCCATGATCATCGATTGGCTTTCAGATGACATGATGTATCTTCACTTTTATCAATGCAAATCGACAATTTCGGACACGAGTTAGACTAGGGAAATGTCGAAAATTTAGAGAGAAGAATTACAAAAATCCAAAAGATATTCGGAAGCTCAGTTTTCACGTTAATAAGCAATCAGTAAACATATCGTAATCGATCCATTTTGTCAACCGATAAAGAAAACCATAGAAAAACTGTTATAACTTGTGAGCCTTGTGCCCTATTTATGTATAACGTAATGATACTGCCAATTAGAGAACAGTGATTTATCGACCAGTTCAATAACGCATCTCTAGAGTCCTTATAGGTTCTTCTCCCTGCCTAACCCTGCCTGTTCAGTCCAGAACACCAATCTCTGCGTTAAGACTAATGAATTTCAAACATACTGGCTTTATATACGAACCAAACAGACTATACTGCACCACAAAATAAAAAATAACATTTGTACAAAATCTAGCAAAAAGTGTCTATGAATGTGGTAAACTGTAATTAATAGACTGGGTATAACTCAAGAGTGGTAAATCGCATAATAATAGTTTATGGATCAAAATAAAGATCATAACAAGAGGAACATGAATATGCATATTCTAGCTACTTAACAATTATACAGTAATAATATATGTATCATGTTGGTCCATAAATAGTTCTCAAAATTTACCATTTATAATCCTCCTCGGTATATAACACAAACATTAGGGGAAAAATCAAGTCAAAGAGGATAACAATTTTAATAAATTGTCAAACAATAACTGGATAAAAGGGTCAACAACAATCAATCATGATCAAGGTCGACGGAACAAACTGTCAGTTATATGTAGAGAAATTGGATTAGCTTAATCCTATTTTTAAGATTGTATTGATGATGCTATCCAGAAGGACAATGAGAGCTTTATGATTAAAATCTACTTACTCAGTGAATAAAACCATTGATTAACTGGTATTTTCCTACACCTTACATAAATGACTGATTCATGCTGTTTGGCCAAATGTTAACCAATTTACACTAACTACATAGTTAGTCACTTCATCTTACTTTACTTTTAAAGACAATTCTATTTACTCTAATTAAAAAATATGCATTTCTTTTGGAGTATTGAGTGCTTGAAACTTCCCATTGATGTTTATGACTGCAATTGATCGGTTTCTTATTAGAATTTGTGCATCCTGTGTGGATTGCTTCAATATTGCCTTCAGTCACAAGCATTATAAGCAAAGATGGATGGTGACTATCAGTGGAATCCAGGACGTGTGTTTCGTCTTATTCGGGACTGAAACCATTATAGAGGCAATGCACACAGGATGCATATATTCCAATAAGCGACCGATCAATTTCAATCCTAAACATCAATCGGAAGTGTCATGAAACCAATAAAAAGTGAATGGAACATCATCACATTGTACAGGCTAGTGAACTCAGTAGCTAAGTGGATAACGTAATAACGTTTGAAGTGAACGGTACTGGGTTCGAGTCGCAGTGTGAATATCGACTTTGAGATGCATGTTCCAAATGGGACGATAGGTGCGTCCGTGATACCAACGCTAGTCACCATTCGTCTGCTCTTTAAGGTCACTTCAATCTTATCCCTTTATTGCTTTTTGTTGATTCTATTTTCTCTATGTTCACTATCATCTCTTAGTTGATTTACTAAAATAAGTTGTAACAAGTAGGTTCCATTGCCATTTATCCCAATTCTCTTACTGTTTCTATCAAATAACTCTTAATAGTTAATTATGAAAAAACCAGTACAAACACACTACAAAGAAAAGTAATAGTAACTTTTAGTTAGGATAAGAATCGAATGTTTAAAAATTGTTAAAGTTTATCATAATTGAAATAAACCGATTAAATTCCTAAAGCCATTAAAATTATACTTTCTTCGAAAGACTGTTACATTTTCGAGTTTAGTTGGGATTTTAGCTGCTTTACTTGATGAAGATCTTGATGTAAACTAGAAAGTCTTAGTATGTAATGATGTCCAATCTGATTAACTTACAGGTAACTCATTAGAAACATTAAGTTAGTTACTTTTTACCACAAACCAGCAATTTAAATAAATGACATGTAATTTTATTCTGTTCTAATAGGCTATGTGGGGTCGCGGATCTGGTCTAGCCAACCTAGGACTTAATACAACAGCTACAGCAAATCGTAAAACTCATCCTCATACAGCGGTTGATTCAAGAGATAAAACGTCTAGTAACCGTGAAGATATATCCTCAGCATCGAATTCCGGAGCAAGTGGACAAAGTAGCGTTCATTCAACTATTCACCGACCAGGTCATCCTGCCTTTTTTGTAAGTGGAAATGCAACACCAAGTTGTGAATCCCGGTGGTCATATCATTAGAAGGACCAGTTAGTCCTAATGCATATGGACAGCAGAGTTCCGAGCCGAAAACCGTACAAACAGTACATTCACGTTTTAGACAGTTTTGGGTAGAGACGTTTGTTGGGGGACGTTCCAGAACGAAATCTGAAAATCAAACTCCTTTGCAAGCTGAGAGTCATAAAGTGAGATTTTCTGATCGCCTAAATGAACCATTAGACACAGAAATGGACGTCTTACCGCCTCATGCATATACAATAACTGGAGGTTCAAGTCAAGCTGCTTCTATCCTACGACCTTTGGCCGTGTATACTAACCTTTCTGGTCCTCACTCAGATCAAGTATCCCCACGATTTATCTCATCTGGTACTGGTAGTCTTCGACGACTAGTATCTAAAAATCATCGGGGTGGGGCAAATGGAATGTCAGTTACACCTCCAGCATTTTCACTATCCCATCAAAGCGATAAATTTTGGTGGTCAAAATCTCCTATTGGACGAAAAGAACGTTTTGTTTCTACCGGTAATATAACAGGGAAAAGCTCGGATGACCTTTATATACATCCAAAACCCTCTAAACTACCTCGCGAACAACCAGTTAGTAGTTTGGAATTTACGACTTCACGATTGAAAAATCCGAAGAAGGTAATTTTTAGACATTTTTATTGAAATAAATCAGTAATTACGTAAACGCTATTCGTTGAATTTTGAAATAAGTTGAAAATATATTCAGATTCCCTTCAGATAAATGGTGAGTGATATCTTTAAAAAAAACACAATAAAACACATTACGGATTGACAACAGAAGGAAGTACTAGTTATGATAATTACTTTATTATATATGATTCGGCTTCCATATTTGAATGTTCAATGAGTGTGCAATATCCAGCATTTTCAGTCACCTTTCTGTTTATTTAATGAACAACTGTTGTATATAAGTGTGATTTTGACTCGAGATTTCATTTTAAGCTCCAGATTTTACTAGTTTTTATCTTTCAGCATGTCAGGATTCGCTACACAAGCGTGTTCATAGAAGACTAATATAGATAGCTTTAGATGGTTGAAAGGAAATCTCTAGTGAAAGTTATGCTCTTACATGTATTTGAGTCGAATATTATCTTTCTTCTTCGTATGCTCACTTTATTGCGAAAATTTGGTATCTGGTGCTGATGATAAATACAATAACGCGTAAGCAATCACATATCCTAAATTACCAAATCGTATATTGACAATAGTATAGCAACTCACGTGCAGTTGAGTTTGTTTTCATTTAACTCAGTTAAGCCCTTTTTGTTAACTTATTTAGCGGACAAAGTCATCCACACTATAACAACTTATTGTACCTTTATTACTGTTGTGCTTGTATATATATATATATATATATATATATATATATATATATATATATATATATATATATATATATGCATATATACATATATACATATATATATGTACATTTACACTCTACACACTCTACACTCTCGGTTCGCTGACTCATTCATTTGCCTCGTTGCTTTGTGGTCTGAGTTATCTGCTAATAAAACTGTAGTCGCTGCTTCTCTTTGCCTTCTGATTTCAAACACCGTTGAGGATTATATGGTAATGGTTACGAGGGTGATTGGTTAACGAAGCACAGCCACTACAATAGCACTAGAATGATGTTAATAGTAAAATTTAATATTTCCTAATAGTGGAATTTCGTTGGTTCTTATCATCATTAATTTGGGATTATTGAATTTGTTATTGTCTCAAGTTTACAACAGGAAACAAAATATGGATGCGCACTTCTGAAAACTCCCATACTAGAACAAAACGGCCTTCCAATGCTTCTAGCTTTTCAATGGTATACTAGCTTATATCGACTCATGAATTCAACTATTAAAATTACTACAATCTCCACAAACCCCCATTCTGATATTTTAATTTTTATTATCAGAAGGGGTTTTGTGGATATTATAGTAATTTCAATAGCTGACATCATTAGTAAATATACATGTAGCAAATACAGGTAGATTATCTTTTGTAGTTACGATACTTGAAGACTTATCATTATCAAATGCAACATACATTTATTGATTATAAATTCCAATGAAATTAACAGTGAAATTCTTTTGTTTCTTTTACACTATTTCTATTTACAGAATTTTCCTTTAAAAACTAGTTTGGATGTATTACGCAGGAAAAGAGGTTAGTCAAATTTAAAGTACAAAAATTTAAACAAACAAAAAAACATTAATGTGCAATGATAAATATTTCCTTTTTAGTTTGGTTATTCTTTTTATCTAAAGATTATTAAGGTCTAAAATAAGCTGTTTATCTTCTTCACTGTATAAAACAGACAAAAAAAATACTTTTTTTAAAAAAGAAAAGGAAACTAGTAACATTTCACCATGTTTAAATTGTTTACAACGATTTTTAAGCAAAGACAGATAATACTAGCAGTGGTGTCCAGGACTCACGTTTCATTCTATTTGGGACTCGTCAGTTGAATGTATCTAAATCCCAAAGTTGATATTCACTCTAACACTCAAACTTAGTACCATTCGCTTCAAACGCCATTGCTTTATCCACCTAACTACTGAGTCTTGAAAGTCACTTGCTTGTGCAATGATCTGAAGTTTAAATTCACTTGGTACTGTTTACTTGAATCTTCCGATTGATGATTAGGGTTGTAATTGATCAGTCTCTTATTGGCAAATATGCATCCTGTGTGGATTGCTTCGATATAGCCTTAAGTCACAAAATCTTAAAGCAATAACATTAAAACTTGACAACTACTAGCTAGTTAATGTTATTAGTTGTCAGGTTTTAAATAATCATAATAAATATACTTCTTTGTAATTAGATAGTAATTGGAGGCAGTCGACAGGAAACCCTGGACCCGGGTTTCGTGCTACTTGGCACTCGTGAGCAAGGTGTACCTGTACCCGGGTCCAGAATTTCCTGTCGACTGCCTCCAACAACCATCTAATCTCAATATGTAGTGCCCGCAGTGTCGAGTCACCTAGACTGGTGATCACATTGCAACATGATCGATAGCATTCGATCTGCACTAATAAGGACTAGACACCCATGACATTGATTGCCACCCAGTGATCAATCAATTGTGATACGTTTTTGTAAATTATCAACTGAATGTAATCTAGTGATCCTTTTTGTGAATTTTAAATATTTACCCTGTTTAAATTTTTATTTATAACCGGAGATAAGATTTTTAAATAATTTGGTTTTTTTAGCGTTAATATAATAAACGTTGATATATGATCCAAATTTCAATGCAATAGATTACATTTACTTACTTTACAGATCAAAATACATCTAAATTCTGTATATATATATATATATATATAACTGCATAAAATTAATATGGAATTATAGCTGATATGGGTCAAATAAAGTGAAGTCTTTATAAACTGAATGATGACTTTGGGAAAATTTGAGGAATTCATAATTTTTCACCATTTTGAATCAAAAAGAATAATCACTGGTTTTTTTTATTGATTATGAATTTTCTTCATCCTAATTTCGTAATCAAAATTACGACTGAAGTCGAATTTTAGCATATGTATAAACAATTTGTTGGTCCTATGACCTAGTTGGTTACAGACAAGAATGTCTCAACAACTCAGTAGGGAGATACAAATCAAAAAATGTAGTTTTCTAGATAACCCAACCACATACATTATGTACAAAATAGATAAAATGTGACTGACAGTGGAATCCAGGACGCTCATTCTGTGCAATTTGGGACTCATCAGCTGGATTTACCTGCATCTCACAGTTGGTGTTCACTTCGGGACTCGAACCCATTACCGTCCGTTCCAAAAGCTATCGTGTTATTCACGAGTCCTTAAATAAAGGAAATGAGCTCCCCGAAATCCACTGTTAGTCATGTTTCATCTATTATATGCTAAATTATGCCATAATGGCTACTTGGAAGCAATTCTTGCAATACCCACATATACTGACCACGACCGATAGAAATTCAGGCAAAAATACTAACAGTGGGATAATCCAATCCATTTCAAATTCAGCTGAAACACATGTATTATAATTACAACTCGTTACTTTAAAATAAGACATTTATTATAGCTTCGTATATAGGTAAGAAATAAGTTTAACTTTATTGAATTTGAGACTCGTTTGGAGACCAACACATAAGATGATGAAACTTTTCGCCGCGGACTAGTTTTATTTAGCCATTATCATCCATTTTATTTTTTAAAAATATTTCCTGCTTACCATGTTTTCATTTTGTTATTAGCCTTCGTATAAGTTCGTTACAGATTTCAGTTATATTGACGTAATTTACCTTAAATCGACCTAATTTCTATCGCTAGACTAATGCACACCATTATCTTCGTACACTTTTTCTTAACCAATCAAAATACCAACATGCTAATTTCTGGCAAAATGTTTTAATTTGTAAATTATGTTTACGTGTGTCCTTATCAAAAATCTAACATTTTATTATATCAACATGCATGATATGTATCCCAGTAATCTTGGGTAAAATAAACCAGAACATTTTATTGATTTACACATTAACATGTAAACGTATATTGTACATAAATTTTAAATTCCAACAATAAAAATAGAATTAAATCTCTTTTCATTTAAAGAGTCTCGTCAAAATTGTAATTTTAAATCCAATAAACATGTACGTAATAGTTTGTCCACCGTGTTCAATAATAGCATTGACTAGAATCGATTTTGCTAGTGCAAATTTAAAGATCTATGGTACTCAATGAGAGAGTCCGTATGGGTTATTCTAGCTTTCGGACAGACCAATTCATTTATCTTTCTTGAGTGACATTTTGACCTTGTCAATTATTTGCTTATTAACCTTGATTGTTTTTATATGACCTTATGTGTGTTAAGTGCCTACCCTATTCAGTAGGTGTCTGTAGCTTATTTTTGTCTGACTATAGATATTGAATCACACTTTATTAAAAGGAGTTGACTCACTCGCCTTCTCTTTATCTTCTCCGCTTCTTATTCTTAATATCTGTCTGGAAAAACGAATTACTTATATACGTACGCCTGTTACTCCTTGTGGAGGAGTATAGGCTGTTCACCAGCATTCTTCATCCGACTTTGTCCTGGGGTAGAAAAACGAATGTTTGAAATAAATTTCTCCAACGCAACCCATATTTGGTTTCGTATTGCCGCCATCACACAAACGGTCTTGGCTTAAGTGATATACGAAGTTAAACGGTTTATTTTTGTACATAGAACATGGTACCAAACACTACAACAGAATAGCATTGTCATTATTCCATGTATATTACTTACAGGTTTACATTTTTGCTAACTAATTATTGTTTACTAAAACAATAAGTGAAAGTCATTATGTCATTTAGGAATTGTAAAGACGGTTTAGATATCTCATCCCTGAATAAATCACTTATTTTTATTTTCGATTGTTCCGTACACTTCAGTTTAAAACACATCTGATAGATGTTGAGTTATGGACAAAATGTTTCAGTTTTTAATTTTTGGAAAAGATACTTTGTAATAATTGAAACAGTAATTTAAAAAATGTTTAGTGGAAATAGCTTATAGATTAGTAGCATGAAAGCTATTTGTCCATTTGATGAATATACAGAAATATAAAAAAAACAGACGATAATACAGAATTATGAGGTATGAGAAGTAGGGAGAGGTGCAAACCGTTATTAAATGGATGACTAAACATGTTACTTATAGACATTCCAATGATGAATTATCAACGCATCTTGTGCACATAGATTTGCAATCAGCACTCCCTTTAAACTCGTTTGGTTAACTTTACAAACAATTTTGAAAGATACATATGGTAATAGTTACTAATCACAATACACGACGTATCTGAGGAAAAATGATCCTAGATATATTCCGAGAGAGGTTGATTTTTACTGCAAACAGTATTAGTCTTACATGGCCAAGAAAACGGATGTAATCTCACTGGGATTGTACACAACAGCCATTTATTCTTATCATATCTAAGAATTTAGAGAGATCTCTTCAAACACCGAAAATCCTCAGGTTTGCCTGTATGTTATTTAGAGAATGTATCAAAAGGATAATCCTGTTTCCTTCATAAAGATCATGAATAAATCCCCTAACCTTTCATTCGCGAATATCTTCAATAGCTTTTCAGACATCAAATCTATCGGGATTACAGATTTTGTTCGATTTTGGAATAAACTTTCTAAGCGAAGAACAGTTTGCCTATTTGGATCTTCATCAGGTTTGATTCTAACACAGTAGTATTTGTATGCACATATGCACAGTTCGTTCTGTTCTACCTTACGGCTGAGAAACGTGGTCATTAAGGGTAGAAGATACTCGTAAGCTACTAATATTTGACCACAGATGTCTTAGAAACGTTGCTCGCATCTGCTGCTATCACCGGGTAAGTCATAATGAGGTTAGACGCAGGGTACTAGGGAATGACGGTAAGTCAGCTGATGAGGTTGTGAATCTTCATTGACTGAAATGGTTGGGCCACGTGTTGCGTATGTCTGAACAGCGATTACCACGACGCGCAGTGCTGACTAGTATTGGGTATGGTTACAAGAAAGTTAGGAGCGGCCAAATTAAAATGTGGCGTCAGTCCTTGAAGACACCAGCTTCAAGTCTGAGCAATGTTGGGAGATGCAGGCTACGTGGTTGGGGTCCGCGTGACTATCGTAACCAATGGTTGGAGACTCTTGGTGACATGGCTCAGAATCGATCACAATAACGAACTCATTCTTTCTTCCTGTATTATATCCTTATATGCAATCTTTCTTTTATATATTACTACCATTGAAGTAACTACCTCTATGAATTTGGTGTTGATCTTGCTGTGCTAATGAGGTGTGGCAACTTGAACCGATGCATATATTTGCCCGGTCCTACGTTGTAGCTGACTGGCTGATTAAAACTATCGAAGTGATCAACATAATTTATGAGTTAGCGATAACAATGAAATGGATTGCATAACTAATCAGAATAGGTAAAGTGTACACCTAAATAGTGTGATTATAGGTTTGGTAATAAATATTGGAAGAATAAACGTTATGATGTCCCAGGACAGAGTTGCTTGGAGAATGCTGGTCGGCGGTCAATGTTCCATTGAGAATAACAGGAGTAAGTAAGTAATTAACCAAACATTATGAAAACATGAAGAAACTCAACAAAATTATGGGTAGGCCAGAACTAGAAAACATAGACTTATAAAAATATTGACCACTAAAATTAAGTAATGAGAAGTGTGTGAACAGTTAGTTCAAGTATACAGATAGTGGAAAATAGATGAAAAACTAAAGGTTAGAAACAATTGGTGGTATCATCTATCAGGGTTT